GTTCACTTTAAACTATCTTCACATCTCATCTTATCACTACGCATCTCTAGGTTGTCTTATCTCTTACTGGAACAGGTTTAAGGACCGCATACTCATTTAAGTATTGCTATAATGAAAAACGAGCCCTGGTGGTGCACTGGTTAAGAGTTTGGCTGCTAACCAAAAGGTTGGCAGTTCGAATCCACCAGCTGCTCCTTGGAAACCCTATGGGGCCAGTTCTACTCTGTCCTGTAGGGTCTCTATGAGTCGGAATCAACTCGACACTACAGGTTTGGTTTTGGTTTTCTAGCAGAAAAAAGGAGCCCTGGTGGCACAATGGTTAAGCGCTCGGCTGATAACTGAAAGGTCTGTGGTTCAAACCCACCAGCTGCTCCGCAGGAGAAAGATGTGGCAGTCTGCTTCCCTAAAGATTTACAACCTTTGAAACCTATGAGGCAGTTCTATTCTGTCCTACAGGGTCACTACGAGTCAGACTGAACTCGACAGCAACAGGTTTGGTTTGGTTTTTTAATACTGAAAAAGGACAAGTAACCTGTTGCCCTTGATCAAGTTGTTAGTTATTCTTCCCCTTCCCACAAATAGCTAGCACCTATCTTCCCATTCCCCTTCTTTAATTTTCCTCATTTCCTCTTCATATAGCTCAGATTTCCCAACTGTACAAAATACCTCACCAACTACATTACATAATGTTTATCATAAAACTCTTTAGAGAGAACAGGAGTTCTGAAATATGCTATGACATTGAGGAACCCTGAAAATGTTATGCTGAATAAAATAAGCCAAACACAAAAAGACAAATATTCTATGATCCCACTCATATGAAAGATCTAGAATAGGGTGAGAAAGGGGGAGTTACTGCTTAAGGAACACTGCGTTTCTGTTAAAGGTGTTGAAAAAATTGGAAATTAATAGTGGTGATGGTCGCACAACACAGTGAATATAATGTCACTGAACCGTATGTGTAAAAATGCTTTATTATATATATTTTACTACAATTAAAAAAGACCAGTGAATTTTATTACCAAAAAATTCCTTCCTGGAAGGGACTACAGTATGTACAATGTCACGTAAGTTTATACTTCAATTTGAACCCTAACCAAAAGCCTCATTCGAAAAGATACGAAAATCTACCTCTATAAAGCAATGAAGATGGGTATAACACTGCAGAATTCCTCTGAGGCCCTTGTTCCAACGAACGAGCTATTAATTTTTATCTTAAAAACACTATATAGGGGTTTTTAAAGCCCAAGGCAACCGTAACATATTCAGACTAGGGAAGACCTGAAAACTGCCTAGTTTCCTACCTTGTTCCCTACCTAATGGCCATTCTGTGGGCTGGAGATAAAAATCAGTGCCCAGCAACCACACCTTAAATTGCCCATGGCAAATAAAAATGTAGAGTAGTGTAATAAAATGGAACTCAGTCAAGTTAACTGAATCACTGTTAGGACTACTCAACTACTTTTACAAATGTCAGACACACTACTTACTAACTCCTCTCCTATGCCTCCTATAAGGACAGGAAGCCATTCTCTGCCCTATACAGTCAGGCTCATATTGATGTACTGCTTTCAAGCTGAACCTAAAAGCTGAGATAAACAGAAGGACACAGAAAAGTGGTGCTTTACTTGATTCTCCATCCTCCCAACAACCTGATGGGGTATTACTCCCATTTAATTGAGCCCACTTTTCTCAGAGGGACCACGTCAGGCCAAGCGGCTATTAATGGTAAAAAGTTGGTTTGTCTCAATCTGGAACTCTTTTTAGATAACGTATTTTGAGTCTGAATTAGGTATTCTAGTATGCATTTCCTCATTTTTTCATTTCATCATCATCATGTGCAAGACAAAAAACTACCAATTTTGGGCTGCATGTCTTACAGGTTTATACAGAAGAGGTGTTTAAGGATCACTAGTGTTGGACCCCTCCCCAACCTCCCTTCCCCACTACCAAGAGAGCTTTTGGTCTAACTAAGCATCTGGCAAGAAAGGCAAATTGCATTAGTACATGTACTGCAATTTCAAGTTAACAGCACAAGAGAAGGAAGAACCCCAAGTTCTTTTACATAACAAAAAGGTCATATTGTGAAGAATATACCAGTGACCATTTTTCATGGTAATGCTTGTACAACTCTTCTAAAATAGTAACATAGTCCCTACTCTTTGTTTATTAAATGGCATAAATTAAATAAATACTTGATAACTGCAAATGGGTTACTAAAGAGCTCTTCAGAAAAACTCAGTCTCTGGAGGTTAGCTCCTTTTTATGGAAAGAAAGAGGGTATTTTCCGCTTGACTCATAGCAACCCTACAGGACAGAGTAGACCTGCCCCATAGGGTTTCCAAGGAGTAGCTGGTGGATTTGAACTGCGGACCTTTTGGTTAGCAGCCGAGCTCTAGGTGTTTGAAATAAGAAAATGAAGTCTGGCTCATCACTAATGCCACCAGCCAATTACATTAATTCCATAAGGGAATTACTGGCTTATTTTTAAAAACCAACATTCAGAAAAAAAAATTAAAAAATTAGAACTGGTAATATGTTCACCAGATAACTAAGATCTCAAAATATATAAGCAAATTAAAGCATACTAGCATGAAGGCTTTACTAATCCTCAAGTACAATGACTCAAAAAATTTTTTTCTCTAGGAAAAGTATCACTCCTGCTACATCTTATTCTTCCATTTTACTAGAAAGGGGAAAAAGGATTTTATGCAAGATGTCTCCAGAGTCAACATAACCCAAAAAACCCAAACCCACCATCAATGAGTCAATTCTGACCCACAGCGACCCTGTAGGACAGAACAGAGCTGCCCCAAAGGTTTACCAAGGCTGTAAATCTTTACAGAAGTAGACTGCCACATCTTTCTCCCAAGGAACAGCTGGTGGGTTCCAGTTACTGACCCTTCAGTTAACAGCTGAGCAGTTTAACTACTGCACCACAAGGGCTTAAGAGTCAACATGCCCTCCTTGAAAAAGCTGGTAGGGAAAAGAAGCCTGCTTATATTAAAAAAAAAAAAAAAAAAAAAACACACTGTCTGTTAATATCAAGTTTTCAGAAAGAAAACTGAAAATTAGCAGCACTGCTGGCCTAATATTACCTTATTTGCTTTACAAATACTTGAGCATCCCCTATATGTTCAGAGATATGAATAATGCAAAGACCTCTAAAAGAGTCTTACTCTTGCGAAGACTGAGGCTGGAAGCAAAAGCTTTAGAATTCTCTAGCCTTTTGTACGTAAAGAAATTAAGGTTTAATTTATCTAAATTTTCAAAGTGGGAATTCCATTTAGACTTTGTGAGAAGCCAGCGCTATTCTAAAGAACATGGGTAGTAACCAGTATCAACCCCCATCACCAAAATGAAGCTATTCAGAAAGTAATCCAGTTGTTAACATCCACTCATTCTGTGCAATAATTTTTTTTCTTGATAATGAAGACAAAAGGAAGTAAAGTCAAAGCTACTAGTCTTTTCCTAGGAACATCCGCACACTGATACGAGCTTTTACACTTTGTGTGTGGAAAACATGCAAATACCTACCTGGGATCACAAAACAAATAGCTTGTTAGTAGCGGGTAAATGTTAACACACCCTCTTCTACCTCTAAAATTGACTTTCGACTTAAAGGAAATTTATAATAAATTCTTTGAAACCAGAATACAAATTATGCAACCTATCAAATATAATAATTGGGAGAAAAACACCAAACTGAATAAAATTCAATCAACACGTAGAAAGATACTAGTTAGTAAAAAGAGCAGGGGAAAACATTATTATTATAGAAAAAAAGACTAATTTTCAAAATTTAAATATTATTGCCTCAGTAAATTGCAAGATAAACACCTGTCATTTAGCCTCAATAACGGCATTTAATTTTCTCTTCTTACAAATAAGACAGGATAGCTGTCAATGTGTTCAAGACAAATGCCACATGAAACTCTGTGACTGTGAGCTGGTATTAATTAGGATAAAAAAATTACTGGTCTTTAAAAAAAAACTGAAAAAAAAAAATCATTTGAGAAAAATACTTAGAATTTACAAATTTAAATTATTTCACTAGTAATTAAAGACTAATCAAAATACTGTCACAACTTCAGCAAAAAACTCAAATCCACAACCATATAAGAAATAATTCCACATTGCTCATTCAGTTCTTACAGGAACAAGGTTCAAATATTAAGGGTAACCATTTAGAAAAAACAGCCTTATTCCAAAAATTCCTGGTTCATGAAAAACAAAAATATTAATATGTATAGGATATTATATACTAACTGGATAGATCATCTACCAGTTTATTCTCAAATTTAAACTTTTCAGGATCAAAAAGCCGTCATTTATGAGTCAGATTAAAATTACCAAAATGTAATGTTAATTCTTTTAAGCTTTTAGTTAAGCACAGGGCTTCAACACAGTAGGTACTGAATACTTAAATCCTTCTTTATTGAACCTAGAAAATCGAGCTTTAGTTACTCATAACCTTTTATAATGGTTGTCAGTGTTCAAAGTTGACTTCCGATGCTTAAATGCAGCAAGAGGCAAAAGCTCTGTGGAAGCCAGCATATTCTGCATGGCTGACTCATTACATTAACATTATAGCATCTAATCTAGGGAGGAGTACTATGTCAATTATGAGTCTCCTATTACATCTCTCTTACAAGAACGAGATATGCAAAATCCCCGTATCCATACACGTACATCTAAGAAAATTAGCTCTAGAACTACTACGTATAACCATAATTGAAATGATAATATTAACAGTTCATCTTTTCAACTAGTAAAAAACAGACAAGCCTATTATTTTTTATCAAAATTGATAATCATTGTTGCATTTATTTTATACCATCTTATTTTAGTAAAGACACCTTGAAGACTTCTAAATTTAGAACACTCAAATTTTTAAAATGAAAATAAAAATCAGAGAAAGAAAAAATTGAGAGTAATGTAACTCTATAGGAAACCTATATTAAAGTGAAGCTAGCGATGCTAGACTGAATGTTTCTCACCAGCACATCATTGCAGATATCTCTTAGCTCGGTCTCAATTTTCTCTCTGTATTCTCGAGCCATCTGCTGTTTTTTCTCAGCACCTTCCGTCTTTTGCTCAATACTCGAGACGACCCTCCAAGATGACCTACGGGCTCCTACAACATTTTTATAAGCAACTGAGAGAAGATTCCTCTCCTCATTGGATAATTCAGCTCCTTGCTCAGTTACAGACTTCATGCAGGCTGCCATGTCATCATATCGTTCAGCCTGCTCAGCCAGTTTGGCCTTTTGCACCAGCTCGTTTTTATCCATGACTGGATGTTCTGCAGAGGGGAAAAAAGCAGCATTTAGATAATAATAAATAGACTCAAATCATACCTGTTGTAAATAAGCTACACTAACACCTCAAAGGATGATCAAAATAGGGGGAAAAAGCATACTCTGCCATTAACATCAGTTTAGGGACTAAAATTACATTATCTCATCTTTGTTCAGTGGATCCTAATTTCGCATAAAGTCAAAGCACATTTGGTGAAGAGGCCTGCCTTGAAAATCACCACTTATTTTATACTTGGCCAAAATCGCAACTCCAGTTAGCAGTATCATTAGTGAATCAAAATTAAGCAGCTTTTCTTTCTTTCCTGAGAACACCAAAAACCAAACGCAATCCTACTCACAGTGACCCTACAGGACAGAGTAGAACTGCCCCCATAGAGCTTCCAAGGCTGCAATCTCTACGGAAGCCGGAAGCCGACTGCCACATCTTTCTCCCGGCAAGTGGCTGGTGGGTTCCAACCACCGAAGGGAAAACACAGCCTACAAGAATTACAATTTCTATCATACTTCCAAAATCATGATTCATGTTAACTTAATGTAATTCATGTCACTTTACTCTCATAATAACAGCTTCTTGTCAGGAGCGTTTAACCTTAAATTTTAGTTTATATCATTCCCACCCCAAATCTACTGAACCTTTGCAACATTTGCCAGCTTATCATAGCGTGACAATTTTTTGGGAGAAATGACCAAATTGCTAGTTCTAAGATACTCTGAATGTAAAACATAACCACCCGGAATCAATACCCAACTGACCCTAAGGCCTCATGCACCTAAACATTGTTTACACACACATGCTTATAAAATATATCCACGGTGGAGTCCTAGAACTTCAACTCTTACTCATCTGGGAGCACTAAAATTCCACATTGGAAGCATTTAGTATCTCCAAGTGTTTCCAATGTCACTGTCCCAGTTTAAACATAAAATTATTGCAGTTTCTAGTAGTCACGATTTAAATGTTACCACTCAAGCTGCCCTGTACCATGACTTCACATCTAATTCTCTTTTCATTTTAAACCTCCCTAGACTTTTCATTTTATCTTCCCTACCCTCTTCTTTAATGATATCCTTTTGAATGGCGCTAAAAACAGAAAGATACTAAACCATACAGTGATCCCACAGGATAAACAATTTAAAAAAAAATTTATAACCTGCGGAGCACTATCAAAAGGTGCACAGAAGAGCCACTGTCACCATGGGAACTAAACCCCCCAATATTATATCCTTCACCTTCCCAGGGAAATCCTGCAACATTTTTTTTTTCCTACATCAGAATAAACCAACCAAAACCAAGTGCATGGCCGTCGAGTCGATTCCGACTTATAGGTCCCCAGTATTTAAACAAGTAATCAGCCAGCTTGGATATGTGATATACTGTTTCAGGGTGTAAACTGTAAACTACTAAAAATTTGTGATTGAGTATTCCTCCCCTCGGTTCTCGAAATTATTTTCTCCCTTAGGAACTCAGAAACACTCATTGGTTAATGCTATTCCTAACCAAAGATCTTTTAACACCAGTACAAAGGTTTTTCTTCCCAACTCTCCAGTACAAGGGTAAGTGGATAAGACTCCTCACAGAATAACTAGTGCTCTAAATGGCCTGGCCTCTATATTGCGGATGACTCGCCGCACCCATTTAACCCTTAACCGACTTTAGATGTGTTGGAAGAATCGAAAACGGCAGTGATTTTAAAGTGCAAATCCTTCCGTCCCCGCTATCCGCAACCCACTCTCCTAGACTCCACCCAAGCTTGCGCCTCCGCACAAGTCCCCGACTCTCCCTCTTTGTCAAGGCTGGTCTGTGTCAAGCAGCCCAACCTACCGCAGAGTGTTAATCCACGCCCCCGCCTCGAGCAGGAGGGAGGAGCAGCCGGCGCCCCCGCCTATGCAGAGGGGACCGCCTGCCCGACCCGGGGGCAGGGACGCCAGCGTCGCCCGCAGAAGTGGAACCACTACCAGTACCGCCGCGGACACACCCCACTCTCCCACCCGGCGTATCCTCCGCCACCGGATACTGATGGTGCCCATTTAGAGAGTCTATAAGGCCCCGACAGCTGCAGTAGGTGGGGGAGGGGGAGAACCACACCCAGCAGAGCTGGGCCACCACCGGCTGTTAAGCTTGGGCATACCCGCCGGGGAAAGCAGGATATGCATCCAAAATCGAGCGCAAGGCCTCTCCAGTTCTAGTCCATCTGGTACGAGATCGAGAGACGCCGACTCACCGTCCTCCCCATCCCCTCCCCACCTGGTTTCCCGGCCCCCATCAGCGCCTCCGCCGCCCATTCAGAAATAGAAAAAAAGCCACCCCCACCCCCCACCAGGAACATTCAAGTCCTTCCTCCCACCGTGAACCCAGGAAATTCAGCTCGAGGTCCAGGCGAACCCCACCCCAAAACCTTCATTCCCGTGATCTGCTCACCTGCGGCCCCCGAAACGCAGCCTCCCCCCAGATCTACCTGGTTGACAGCTCCGGGCAGGGCCCCGGCTCCTGGTCCTCACCCAGGCCCCTCTCCCTGCGTGCAGCACCCCCGGCCCCTCCCCGCCGCGCCGCCACCGCCCGGGGTGGGGGAGGGCTGGTCCTGCCGCCGCAGCGCCGAGAGCGGAGGCTGCGCCGAAGAGGGAGGGAGAAAGGAAGGGGGAGGGGAGCGCGGGCGGCGAGCAGGGGAGCGGGGAGGGGGAGGCCTCACCTGCGCCACTGCAATGCCCGCAGCCATCTCGGGCGGAAGCAAGGCGAGGGGGGCAAAGAGGGAGGGAGACTTAGGGGTCACAGGGGCGAGGGGTGGGGACGAGTCGGGTCCAGGGGTGCCTCGGTGATGACTCGCTCACCCTAAGATCCGGCGACCGGGTGAATTCCCGGGGATCTCGCGTGTGGGCGCGCTTTCCACCCCCAGGGAGTAAGAACGAGGGGAACGAGCGCTAATCGGGGCCAAGTGGTTGATCCGGAAGCAAGTAGCCGGAGGCAGCCGCGACCCGCCTGCCCGAGACCAGCGGAAGAGACGCCGCCGCCCGTCTCCGCCTGAAGAGACTCCGCCTTAGCCCAGCGCCGCTACCGCGGGCCGAGCCCGGGTGAGGAGAGGTGGAGCAGAGCAGGCTCCCACGCTTTCAGAAGGCTGGTCTGCGACGGAAAGGAATGGAGCAAGGCAGCGGCAGTCGGGTCCCTTACCTGTGTCCGGAGTGGGTGGCGGCGGACGGACGGGGGTTCAGCAGTCTCTGGGCGGCGGCAGCGGCAAGGCTGAGACTCTGTCCCTGAATCTCGCTGCTCACAGGCTACAGCCGCTCCGCAGACACGGGGTTTCCTCCAATCACCGGCCCCGGCAGCAGGGGCACCACACGTACGATGACGTCAAACGCTGCTATGGCAACCGTTGATTGGTGCCCACAGCTCTAGGGGCCCAGCGCAACCGCCGCTCCCTAGCGCGCGCGCCCAGCCCGCCTGCGCTAGAGGGCGAGCCCAGAGGAGCGCGCGTTTTCTCCCGCTACCCACACTCCTCCCCGCTCCGTTCAGCTTCCAACTTCTCCACTGTTGTCCCGAATGCTCCAGGGCAGGAAGCTTTTTTTATTTTCTTCTCCACCACTACTCCCTACGTCGCTTTCACTTCGGATCCTCTACACCCTATCTCCCCGCAACCTCTGGCTCACTCTTCCTCTCAAAAAAAAAAAACGTAGCGAGAAGGCAATCTCTCCCCACCCCCACCTTAGCTTTTCGTTCGGTCTTCCTGCGCCTGCGCCAGTCACTCCCTCCAGAAAGGGCTCCGGTTCACCAACATCCGGGACCTTTCACGTTCCCCCTCCCCCTCCCCCGCTGCCTGCCCGCCCCGCCCTCCGTGCTTCGCTGTGGTAACTGCCTTCAGGGCTGTCCGCAGGCTGAATTACGAGAGTGGCTCTGCAGCTCGCGCATTATGATCGGGATGGTGGGGCAGGGCGCGGTCAGACGGTCAGGGAAGGGCAGCGTTGCACGCTGCCTCTCCCCTCCCCCCCCCCGCCCCCCACGCTCCTGGCCGCTCCCCATCGCTAGGCGAGGCCGACCTGGGCGCGCGGCCCCTCCCTTCCTCCCTTCCGCCACCGCGGGTTTACCTGCTGGCTCGGGGGAAGACGGCCTTAGCCCTTTTAAGGCTAGGAAAAGAATGAGGAGTCCGGCCCCCGAGTGTGGGCTGAGTGACGGGCAAGTTTTCCAATCGGGAGCTCGGAATCTGCGCGCAAGGACAGCCGCGCGGGGACAAAGGGTGGGCGCCGAAGTGGTGGTGAGGTGGGCCGGGCGGAGCTGGAGGGAGGTGAAGCCTTCGAAGAGACGCTGCCAATTCCAGAAAGCCAACAATTCCCGCGGGGAAAAGACAGTCTTCTTAGATGGGGGGCTTGAGGCGATAATGAAAGCCTTAAAATGAAGGCGGCAAAGAAGCAGAGGTTTGAACACACTGGTTCATTTCTCACAGGTTAGATTTTTCTATCCCAATAAAGCTTTTACTTGAAGACCTCATACTGCAGTGATTTAAAACGTAAAGATCATTACCTTTTATTCTACTGGAAGCAAGTTTTGAGGGACGTGGTAGTTCCCGGATAGCCCGGTTGACCCAGCTGGCAGTGGAAGTGGGTCGCAGGCAAGGTGAGGAGCGGGAATCAGGAGCCCAGAAGAGGGGGGAAGAAGGGCGGCCAGTGGCGGAAATTGCAGGTGCCGTACAAACGTGCCCACCTAAAACGGTAGGGCCTCTGCCAAGGCAATTTAAGGAAGTTTAAAGCGATACACAGTTTAATCAAATGTCTCTGTCCCCTCCCCCTTCAAATTTGTTAACAGTTAAAAGACTAGTCCTTGGATGACCTGCAAAAACCGCTTGCAAAAGTCACATAGTTAGCAGTGAGAACTGGGAACTCTTCCTACTACCTTGTGTAAACTCCATTGTGGCCTTTTGATTTTTCGACATACCTGTATTTTCAGCATAATATATTTTCAGTGCATCTTTACTGAACAGCTATTATGGGCTTGCTCTGGGTACAGCTGACAAAAGAGCTTGATGAGCTAGTGCAGCTTCATTACTGTTCTGTAGAGCACACAAAATGATTCCTGTGCCTACCAGCACCTTGTCTTCTATATGATGGATACAGTGGATCACAAGACTGTTGTACAAATACCTTTTGCCTGAAGTCACAACTGACATTTAGATAGCACAGGTAGTCACCAATTTAAGACTACTGAGGTTAAGATAAAGCACACTTAACCACTGTCCCCCCCCCCACCTTTTTTGTACATTTTATGCTTAGTAATATGTACTACATACAAGGTTGCAGCCCTTAATTTCCTGATGTCGTATCTGTAAATTTATTTGTAATGTTGCCAACCCACAAAGACAGATCGGACTTACAAAGATACTGATAATAAAAGGCAATAATAATGAAAACTAAAAAGAAAATGAGGTATCCAACTTGTCAGAACTGACTTACCACAGAGTCCTCTGAACAGAACCCTGTGGTAAGTCGGGACTACCTGTAAAGTAGTAAACTGGGAAGAGTGTTTCCAGTGACCAGTTTAATTTCAGTGTTTTTTATTTTTCCCCAAGTTTCAGCGAGATAGTAGGTGGAATGGATGAGCGAATGGATTGGGTTTCATTTCTGAGATATGAAGGTTACCATTCTTTGACTCCCAAATAAATTCTTTTAGGCAATGACTCACTTAAAATGACTAAATATGTCAAAAGATAATGTTTTAGAAGTTGCTTCAAGCTTTGTGCTAGGCATTAGAAATTTGACAGGATATTAAAAATAAATATTTTTTAAAATGAAAATTGACATTTCTTTCATGTCTCACATACATGCCTATATAGAATATATGCCTTTTTAGAGGAAGCTGAGAGATTTCTCTGCATAAGCAAATTGTGAATTTACTTTAAGAAACAGGTAAGTTAGGCTTTTGTCTCAAGCTGTAACGACATTTTTTAGTGAAATAGCTGTTAGGTTTTACACACTCAACATGTTTGTGGGATAAAGGTTTAATGAGACTGCAGAGAAGCAAAAGTAGAGAATGTCATGAAAACCCCAAATGCAAAGTATTTTGAGGAATAAGGAATAACCTATGACAAGGATAAACAGCAGAATAAGTAGAACCTATGAACTTGAACTCTGAGAAAATTACTGAACACTTTACCAGTAGCCTTACCTGTTTTACTTTCTTGACTGCTCAACTTTGTTACCCCAGTCAGGTTGCTTAACCTCTCCATGCCTTGATTTCCACATCAATAAAATACTGGTAATAAAAAGCACTTACCTAGTTAGGTGGTGCCGAGGATCAAATAGTAATATACATAAAGTGCTTAGCAACATTCCTAGCACAAAGTAAGCATTTAATAACTTGGTTATCGTTCATTTGTAAATAGGTATATGTGATGTCTCTACCATTCAAAGGGTTGTGAAGATAAGGTCAGCGGTTCAAAACCACCAGCTGTTCCACAGGAGAAAGACGTGGCAGTCTGCTTCCGTAGAGATTTATAGCCTTGGAAACCCTATGGGGTCTCTGAGTCAGAAGTGACTCGACGGCAGTGGGTTTAGTTTTTCTTGGTTTTGTATATTTAAAATATCTTTTAAAAGTATGAAGTATAAACATGCTACTCTGGAAATGCAAATTGGTTTTAGATAGCCTGTTTTTAACACTATAAAACAAATCCTTGCTGTTGGGTTGATTCCAACTCATAGAGACCCTACAGGACAGAGCAGAACTGCTCCATAGGGTATCCAAGGAGCAGCTGGTGGATTTGAGCTGCCAACCTTTTGGTGAGCAGCCGAATACTTAACCACTGTACTACCAGGGCTCCGTTAACACCGTAATGAGACATAAATGATGAGAAATTGAATATTGCTCCATTCCTGGAATGGACTGCAATTATCTCTTTAGATCTATGCTATACATGCTGTACATTAAAATGGGAGTTTAAGTTAAGTAGCTTAAGTCCATCACTCCAATTGGAAAGACATCTCAAAGGATGGGCTCTACTGAAGATGTGGCACTTACATGATCTTTTAAGTGTAATCACAGCTGAGTCTGGTTATAGTCTCGCTTCTACATTGTTACATTGTTGGAAAAATGCAGCATAGTAGGGTGATCTGTGGAGTCAGAACTGAGTACAAATCCTGGTTCTGTCATTCAGTGGATTTAGGCTACTAAATTGGATATACTAACACCCACTCCATCTGATTATTACAAGAATTGAGTGAGAAAGAGAGGGCTGCACATAGTGCTCTATACCACTATTATCTATTGTTGCTGTAACTGGGTGTTTGAGGCAGAGGCACGCTAGCCATTCACTAAACCCATTTTTCTCCTGTTGGAGCCACAGCTGGACTCCATTGCCTAGTCTCCTTTGCAGTTAGGTGTGGCCATGTTACTGAGCACTACCTAATGAGGTATGACAGAAGTGAGGTGCTCCACTTGTGGGTCTGGCCCATAAAAGCCTCCCCTGTTTGAACTTTTTTTATTTCATTCCCTATCTGCTAGTTGAATGGAGAAGATTCCAGGATCTTAGAGGGGGACCATAAAATGAGACCATAAAATGAAAGGAGTCTGGGCCCCTGAAAGGCTGGGAAGGCCTATGAAAACCTACCCCAATCAGATTGACCTTTACCGAGGGATAACCTATTAAGCCTGTCACGCTTAGGGCTTGTGTGTTATAACAGCTAGCACTGTAATGCCTGTGGATACCATTGGCAAGCTAAAAGTATGGTAAAGATTAAAAAAAGGAAATGGAAGGTAAGAAAAGGAGAGGAAAATGAAACGAAGTGAGAGAAACAAAAGGAAAGCTGATCTCGTGATAAAATGCACTTACTGTAAGTATTCTTAACTATTGGCTTTTGGAATAACTTTAGAAAAGGAACTTTTTCCTCATTTAATTCTAAATAGATCTAATAGTTTCGCTGCTTTACTATTTAATTGATACCATCCTCATTCCTTTGTCAGCTATGTTAAACCTTGTTTTACTAGAATAAAAAACATTTTTCAGCCCATACTTTGAACTCTATCCCAACATTTCAGACCCTAGGTCTATATTCTATGATAGTTTGGCCACACACTAGGTTTTTTGTATGCTGATTTTAAAATCAACAAAAAACAAGAAAGCCAAGCTGACTGACTGTGAGATCTCATTTTATAGATTCATCAAACCCTTAAGGAGGGCCCAGTGGCCAGAGATTATGGCAGTTGTTAGGGATAAAGATAAGTCAGGATCCCTCCCTAAAGGAGCTCACAGTCTAGGGACAGAGACAGACACTAAATGCAATGACAGCACCATGAAAATAAGAACTAATGAAGGTGAGCAAGTTATGTTTTCGGAACTCTGAGCTGGGAGTACTAACTATCTATGGAGAGGTGGG